ATTCAGAAGGTTTAATAAAGTCGGTAAAGTGTACTAGAGCCAGAATGAGTTCAGTTAACGTGGTTTGATTCCATTTTGTACTTTTGTATGCTGTGTCTTGTCAGTGGCTAAGTTAATGGTTCTTAACCCGTTGTACACATGAGGTATTTTGAGCTTTTTTTTGTCTGATTATTCTCGAACTGAGCACTTCAAGAGAATGAGGAAACTTGGTCGTTTCCTGCCGTTCCCCATACTCCCCAGGTACCAAAAGCACGATCACCCTCCTTCCTACTTACGTGTATCTACAAAAGTAAGTTAAAAAAGTTAGCAGGACTGGAATCCCTCGCGGTGCTCTACTCCTTCCTAAAACACCTTTTCGTATTGAATTGCAGGGATAAGAGGACACTTGGCTTACCAGGAAAGGTCAACAGGTCAGCCCGGCCATTTCCAATGAGCTGCACACCGTTGTACGCGTCTTGGGACGGTGAACTCAAATCTACCTTCAGAATTTGCGGAACGATTCTCTGAACGGAGTTATGGAGGGTTTTATCCCCGCATGGTCGTTTCACATGCTATCGCGAGGAAACGTGGAAGCGTCTTTACATTTATGTATGGAGTCGTTCTGAAACGCGGTAAGAGCGCCAGACGGATAGGGAGCGGCTTTTTAGACGAGATGTCGTAGGATCGGTTCCAGGGCAGGTCCTTTTTTGCATTTGTCCAAGAACATAGCCGACAAAGCCTCTAACATCTCTTCTCGCCCTCCCCTACTCTACAAGGGAACCTGCAATCAGTTTTTTTTTTTTTTTGAAAGGTAGACCATTGATGGCACGAAGGAGCGCTTCTGCTTGTATACCCCTCGTAATACGGTTCGCAAGCGTTTTTGATTGAGAATATTATTTTCACCCTGTTCAGCGGGTTAAATTACCCCTGGAGATAATTTTCTAGCACAATCTGATTTTTCGACCTCACTTGGAAAATGTGGGCTATTCCATGGGTAATTAGTAGCAGGAGCTCAGCTGCCTATCGAAGACTGTAGTCTCGCGGAATGGGATTCTCTCCACGATAGTCAAGAAAGTGCATGCCAGAACAAGTAAGCCAAGTTCGCGAGAAGAACGATGACTGTTAAGAGTTATTCAGTTCGAAGACATTCGATTACCAGTATGCCTCAGTCATAGCCTATCGCTGAGCTATCAGTCGAGCCATGACTATCCACTACTCCATTTTTTCGAAGTGAGTTCATGAAGACTCAGCCATTTATGCTAAGGTTGATATCCTCAGGCGTATTTGACTCCCGAACACGAATATATACCTGTTGCGCGCTAGAGCCGCTGAGCCTCGCGCCTACATGTTGCCAACGCTCGCGCCAGCGCACTCGTTAAGAGAAAAAACAATACACGAAAAACCTCATAACTCCGCGCTCAGAGAATCGTTCTGCAAATTTTGAAGACAGTTCTGAGTTCACCGTGTCAAGATGAGTAAGTGATGTGCATCTCATTGCAAATGGCCAGGCTGACCTGTTGGACCCTTCCCGTATTAGTCGGGATGTTGCTATAGAGAAATCTTGTGGAGGTGTATATGAAACAATTCATAGCAGAAAGCGACCTAAGCTGCGTTTTCTATAAGTGAACAATCACTCCACCTCAGCTTCAGGCCATGACGGGGTGAAGCTTTTCATAGTCGAGTCGGAAATACGAAGAATTGGCATCAGCCATAAGCAGGCGATATAAGATTCAAGGATGAAGTCACTAGCATGGATGCTCCTATAGAGTGCCGTTTCAATGGAGGAAACAACAGCTGTCCAGCTTCTCGCCAAACTTCGCTATATGATTTTTCGTAATTTCTCATGACTTGGCCTTTAAATCAAATTTAACCTCAAGCGCCTGTGAGATCCCTGGCTCGTTAGTTTGGCGGATATAGAAAATGCATATTGACACCAGTGCCGTGCAACCTAATCCAGGATACGAAAAAAAGCGTCTATTGACATCCTCTTGATGATCCTTGGCAAAGGCCGAAGACGAGCTCCTCATGTATTCTGGGTTGAAAAGGAGAAAAATTCCTGAAGTTCAAATTCTCGCTTTGCGATTTTGTTGGCTCGAATCTTTGCTGTGATACCTTATGCTTCACTCATTCTTGGCGATGGCGACTAGCCAGTGGCTAGGTTAGTGTGGTACCATAATGCTTTTTCTAGTAGTTGGTCTGGGTTCCACTCAGTTTAAACCTTTCTAGGCACTGCAGGATCCACATTTGAAAGCGCGGGGCGCTTGTGCTTTCACCACGCCTGTTTAAGGTTGGCAGGCACGCTGAAGGGTGTCTGCCTCTGTTTTGCCAGCTCCTCCGGTCGTGCCTCTCATTTCGCCCCCGAAATACTTTCCTGTGGTGCCTGCTACATGCTGCTCATTATGGACCTGTTAATGCAAATGTACTCTATTCTGAACTAACTCATTAGGATGGTGAATTGTTGAAATCACAGTGTTGTTAAGGTGGAATGCATCTCAGTAGGATTTTCCGGCTACCGCGGAAACCATTCTCGGAGCTGGACTATGCTCGTCATATGCCTAAGGAATATGTTGACAGGCTAAAAAGAGTCGTGCCGAACGACAGAAAGTGTACAGTTGAAGGTGAAGGTTATTCAATTGTAAATCGTATTCAAAATAGAGCTACGCTTATGGTGCTTTCTAGAAAGGCAAACAGTGTAGTGTAGGCTAGTTTGAAATAATGTGTGTTACATGAATTGTCGATTTACATCAGTATTTTAATATTTTAGTTTTTACTATTGCTAATTTTTTTATATCCCAACTTAAGCCATTCGCTTCAAACAATTCTGTTTTCTGACACGAAATCTTTATGTTGATACTTATGCGCTACTCACCAAAAATACCCACGTCAGCATGTTGCTCACATTCAATGCTTTTTCTTTTGCTCCAACAAGGCGGTTTTATGGAGTTCTAGACCAACAATAAAAACAGGTCAACTGAAAAACTATCTTCCGGTGCCAGAGGGGACCCCGATTTTTTCTCTTGTTTGGGAACCAGGCTTTTTTAGCGAAGTGGCGCACAACAGTAAATGCATAATCAAAAGACAGAAATAATTGAGTTTGGAACGTACAAAGCTTGAGAGTGGGTTATGCTTCCTTCCTTTCCAAGTACGGTCGCATTCTTTTGTTTTGTTCGTTTCGCATCATGGGTTTCTGTACTTCAAAATAATTCTTGCTCATTATTTTTTTCGGGTTATCGCTAGCATAAAGTCTTGACGTTTCCCCCCCCCTCCCCCACAAACACGCCCATCATATTCCCACAACATTGAGCAGTAGACACAAATCATGAGGGCCTTCAAAGGTCTTTCAAGCCGCAAATGGTCTAGTTATGTGACTCAAAAACAAAAAAAAATGCATCGGACTGGCTGCAGAAACAAAAAAAATGATCAGGTGGTCAGGCTACCACGATCAAATGAAATGGACGTGTATGTATTCTGTGATAGAAGTGCGAACCTGTCTGTAGTCGCTAAGGGTCTCTGCAGGGAAGAATAAAGGGGAAAAAAATCTGAGAACACTAGACTCCTTGGCAGCCTAACAGTAGAAGTTGTCCGGATTTGTTCCAGCAAAACGAGATCCTGCGTCCCCTGGGTCACTAGTCGTTTCTTCGCGCGTCTTCCAATGCTGAAACTTTTACAGTTAAAAAAAAAACGAAAAATAAGTTTAAAACTGAAACCCGTGGACAGAAAATTGCCTGAATTTGATTGCGGCAATTGAGAAAGCCGTCAAAACTGCGACTTATTGAGGCGTCGCATCTTTTCTTCTACTTTACTGTTGAGCCAACAAAGACAGTCTCCAGGGACTGTGCCCTAATTAGACTAATAGCTTGCGACTCAGCCAATAATGTGTCCTAAAATGATGTCTTCACTTTTTTATCCTTTTTTTTCTGCATGACTATGACTATCTAACTTTCATTCCACGTCGACCCAGTTATTTTTTAATATTATTTTTCTTTATTTCATTTGCTTTTTTCTTCCTTTTGATGGATGTTTTATTATTTCCGTTAATTTGTCGAACTGTGAGCAATCGCTGTCCCTTGTGCAAGATTTCGCGAGAGCCCCTGACATCACTTCGTTGGGTGATACATCCAGACGACTATGAACCAACCACTAAACGACCATGGGTCAACGAAGAACTCTCGAAGTCATTGGAAAGAGCTGATAAATACCATCAGAAAAATGTACCGTCCTTATCATTTCTCTTTTTTCCTGGTAGAACTTACTTAGCTTTGCACTTTTCAGGCTTTCACAGAAGTTCTTCGAATTACGACGATCCAAAATTCGTCGCATGCCGGACGAGAATGACATCCTTCCTTGCAGATCTTGTACAGAGTACTAGTTTACTTAACATTCACTGATGATGGATTTTAAGTGAATGCCGTTTGTGCTGGGACCTTACCATCAGGAGCATTCTCTGACGCTGATATCAGTTCTGCTTTTGAAATCAGCAAAGCGATTCTCTCACCGGCGTTATGGATGTTTTTCCCTTCCTATTCTTCACCATATACTCGTGGATGCGCCCTCATTGTATAATCTCGCTTCATGCAAAGAGCCAAAGGTGTCGTGTAGCAGAATCAGTGGTGGTTGTCTCGCTTCGTGGGCAGCGGGTCGTAGGATGGAATCCCTCGGCTTTTCCTGCTATTCTGGAAAGCTTTGCGCTATAGGGCTTCCTGAAACCCGATTTCCACAACGTCGCTGCGCACCACTCTACAAGGAAAACCAAGTGATTCCTAATAGGTTTTGAGCGCCTGCGCCCTGCAAGAAAAGTTCGGTGTGCAGTCGGCCCGATCGCGCACGCGCCCACGCGCTTCGCAGCGTTTTTTTGACTTTTTTCTGCTCGTTAGCTCTGGTTCCCTTTATATAAGTTACGTATTGAAGGTGATGGTTGGAAAGGATAAAGGACGTCAAGGTACTGTGATGGGACTGTATCTGCGTCTAACAAATGAAGTTTTCTGTCGCCAAGCGGATTGCACTGTAAACTCGAAGTAGAAATGGAAGGCGCAAAGAAAATGGGTATTGATGAAGTGCTGATGTAGGTTTACTGTTTGTTTTCGTGTGCGTGTGCTTTCTTTTCCCATAGTTATAGTAGTGCACGTTGCGACTGCATTAGCCGCCAACAGTCAATCTGATTAGGGCAAGGATGGTTCCTGAGCCCTCGACGTTAGTCTACCCTTTTCACGCTGTCGGTCACCACTGGTGTATCATTTCTGGAATAGAATCCTCATTTGCGCGCGAGAGGGGACGTGAACCCATCTGGAATGTTCAGTTTTTTGATTAATCCAAGATTCGCTGCTCTTGCAGACATTCCTTGCACATTCGTTCTAGTCCTTTTGCCAGTTCCTCTCAACAGGCAGTTCTCATTTCGGTGTTACCTGTAAGATGTGAACCTGAGGAGTGGTACATTTACAAATTTTGACAAATTGGCTCGCATAATTTTCGCTCAGTGCCATCTGGTGCCCCACTAAACGCTGAAAAGTCCCGGACGCAAATTTGAGGAAGTTTGCTTAAAAGATGAAATGCGTTAGAGGTCGATCCTCTTTCGGGTCAGCGGTCATGTAATGACACTAGTCATTCACACGTTCCCATGTCCTCCATAGTATAGCCGCGTAGTTAAGTTTTTTTTTAATAGAACTTATATGTAGGCTATTTTTTATGGAACTTAAGATGCGTGCGTTCTTCAGATTGGACATGAGCGCAGCCATTTGAATGTTGAAAAGGGACAGTAAAACTGGTTGATCCTAATGATAACGAGCCCTGTGATGCGAAGTACGCCCGTTTTTTCTTGATTTTCACTTATGTGACAGGTAGTTACTCCCAACTTATAGGTGGGTGCTGAATGACGCTGGTGATGAATACATTCGTATCTCGTTACGATCTGGCTTCGAAATTCCAGTTCCTAGTCAAGCAAGAGTTACTTATGAGTATCTCTTACCAGAGAAGTACATTGGTAAGTGTTATCCTAGAACTGGCACACTAGTAAGTACTGGCGCGCCGTGGAGGGCGTTGTTTTTTACCCGCTTCATATGTCTCTCTTGCAAGTTCCAGTTGAGTTACGTTTCATATTGATGAAACCTGTAAACCTTTGCCAAGTGTAAACGAAGCCCCTGGTTTTGCACAGCAAATTTAGGGCATGATATCGTGAACCCTAAGCACGCCCGCACAGCGCCTAACTGCGCTTGGACCTAATAGGCAAATTTTGAAAAAAAGCAAACAGAGAAATCAAAGAACACAGTATAAAATCACTTTGCAATTGGCTGTAAGTCCGAGATGAAGCCTTCACGTGCTGCGTCAATCCCTATGTCGGCTAGGGGGGCACACATCCTTCTGCCGCTACCTTAAGAATCGCAGAAGCTCAGAGCTTATTGATTGTGATGTGGCCTATACAATGACTTGAGGGCCAGTCGATGTACAAATCAGTGTTCTCATTTTCCCGGACGGATCTGGTACCAGTTCACCGTTGCTCGAGGGTAGAAGGCCTGGTTAGCTTGGGCGCCGATCTGAGATTCAACCCCGGACCGCGCATGTGGTAAGCGTGCCATTTGCCACACACCTCAGCCTAGGTGCGAAATTTTAATGAAAATAAACACAATTTTGTGCTTCCGCGATTTTGTTTCTCTAAATTTGATTATTCTGCTTCATTTCTTTTCATGAGTCCAGTAGTTTCCTTTTTCAGAAGTGGAAGAAAAGGATACACCGGCTGCTCTGGTTCTGGAACGAACGTATATCCCGAAATTGACCTCATTCGAAGACGAGATTTCCGCCGAAGTTGGCATCAAAGCGCAGCCACCACGAAAACCAACGTATTGGTACTAGGGAAAGTTAATTGGCGGGTTAGCTATATCCACAATGGCCCATGGTAAGACGAGCGCTGCTTATACATAATGTTATTAACGTCAACCAAATTTTTGACACCTTGTACTTCCCGAGTAAAAAGGGAACATGTGTGATGCGTGTCGATGGAGTAGCGCTTGCAGGCGTGCCTCTTGTCCGACGATGAGCCGCTGTGGATATGACCATGGTAGAAAACAGAAATAGCTTTGTCTAGACAATTTACCCTTGTATATTGATGTTCTGAGATCTGCAGTTTCTTGTTGATTGTTGTGTTGTTATACAATATTTATAGTGAAATCAGTACATATGAGTATGTGCAAAAAAGTTAATAAAACATGCAAAATAACCCCGTTTTGACTGGCAAATACATAAGTTCTAATTGAGGGACGAGTTTTCATATAGGACCAGGCGCTTTTTGTGGTGAGTCCTCTTGCGGTTCCAGTGCAATCAGACCGTATTCATCAGCGTACTGTAGCGGTTCGCAAAACCTGCAAGTATATTTTTAGCCTCAAACACAGTTTCACTGATAGTCACAGGTGCACAGCAATAAAGAGTGGGACGCTTTAGCTTGATCACAGATCACCATTTGGACCTAGGGGCTAATATTGTACCCAAAGCCAACCAATTTACCAATGAGAGTACAATGTTTATGGAGAAGCAAAAAATTGATAATTCAGTCTCAACTATTATGAAATCAATTCATATTATTACCGAAAAGCTTAAGAAATTAATGCAAGCTGCGCTTGTTCGGCGACAGCGCCCAAGCTTACCATTAATTTCTTCTAGCATTTTTCGGGGGGGGGAGGGGGGGAAGTGGGACATTTCTATACGCGTCATCTTACTCAGTAGCCGCGTTTACAACTTCCCGCCTCTGGTGAAAACCTGTGTGCTAAGCTGGAGTAAGCCTCCTCTAGCCACCTGGCTAAAACCCGTCAACTCTTTTCCTGTCAGAGAGCTCCTAGACGTCGTCGATGTAGTGCGAACGCTCCCCCCCCTTCCTCCTGTCGCCGAACTGGGCCGAACGTTTGCTCAACATACTTATGCCTCCAGCGAATGGGACTGTGGAGGCAAGACGAGCTCGCAGTCAGCATTACCCAGCGCGCTGTAGGAAGGGCGGAGCATGGAGACTCCCTACACGCACATAGTACAGGCCAAAACCGGAGTCCGCCACTTCGGCCTACAATGTGCGTGATGCATCGAAAAACAGGGACGCTGCCGCATCTGCTGAGAAATCGAAGACCAGTTGATTCACTGTGATTACCCACTGTATTAGCGCCCGACTCTCCTGGAAACGAATATGGGCTGATAAATAGCTAATCTATCGAACGGCAGTAATGGTAGTGCTTGTCAGTGTCCAGTCCTGTGCCGCACCATCGTAGCGACATTGCTAGGCACGCGCCGCGTGCGCGCCGCCTATGAGTTTCTCTCTCTCTCTCTCTTTCTCTATCAGGACGACCGCCGACGCATGGTCACTTTTTCATATGAGCATGGGGAGGACGAATGATTTCGTGGCCCTCAGAAAAAGTGAATTCCCTGGCTTGCGACAGAGCAAGTGGAGAGATTGCTTTCAAGAATTCTATGATCACTGGGACTGAAGATGTAGGAATTTTACAAAGTCTGAAAAGGTTACTTCGATTCTGGGCAATGAGGAACATCAGAGGAAAAACTAAGGATTTTTGTGCCAGATGGATGGTTTCAATTCGAACATTTAATTGATCAACAATCAAGTTCCAGCTTACCTCTCGCTTTCCAATGTGAGTATATACTGGCACATATTTGGCTCAGCAAGTGCTATTGAAATGGCTAACGAGCTATGATCAGCTGTTTTACATCGTAATCGAACCTCCACGTTCCTGAACACCAAGTTTTGGTATGGCTCAGGGTAGGAATAAAAATTGAAAAGAAGCATACCTGTGGGCATTTAGTTCATGGCAAATATCTCCTTTCACGTAGAGATGGGATATTTGGGTAACTTGATTATTATACTGAAAGCAAAATTAATCAAACATCAGATGTCACCCATTATTCCACACCACCGACACCAACCTTTTTCGGAGATCGATGCGTTTTATCTTCGTCAACCCATGCCTTATGCACTTTCTCATCAAATGTTCCTAACAGTATCTCCGTGCGTTCACCGTTGGGTTCTTGATGGTATTGCAAGACCTAGAAAATCAGGATATTTCATTAAAAATATTGTATGAAAAGTCACTTATGAATAAGTTATGAAGAAGCACTCACGGTTTTCCCGTAACAAAATTCGTATCTCCACCAGCCTTCACCGCCATAAATACACTCCCTCCCAGAGAGTATGCGATTCACGGTATCCTCAACAATCAGTCGATTGTTCGCAAGCGTGTCCACACCTTGGGGTGCCTTAAAATTGCACACATTTACCTACAAAGCTAGAGAAATCCTGCCCTAATTCCAGTTATTCTTCCGATCTTCTTAGAAACTGGGTACTTTTCATGAAACAAGCTTTGTTATTAGAGGGGGGTCTCTCTGGAAGTGTCGCAATGGACTTAGGACCATAAGGTGATCGGCTAGGTGGATTACAAAGCCGTTCCCAGGTGTTGAAACTACGAATTGGTCGAAAACACAAATCAGTAAGAAATATGTTCTACATTAGAGCATGTCTTCGTTGGGAACCCCCAGCGAAGCAGCCGTGATGGTCTTCGAGAGGTTTTCGTTCTTGACTTTTTTTGTTTTTTTTTGTTTCTAGTGCCTTCCTTCCTAGCTCGACGGGAAAAGGGGAGCGTTTGAGAAAAACTCTGGAAACGTGGTAGGAAGTTGAGGAAGTTTAGGTTTTGGTAGGTAGAATGAGGGATGGGTTTACGGCCGCACCAGAGGAGAAAATTGTGGAGAAGGAAGTCGTATTTTGCAAATATCCTTCCCAACGGCGCAGGACATGCCTCTGTTCTGCATTGAATATTGACTCATCATAAAAAGAACAACGGCTGTCCAGTACAGGTCCGCTGCCCAAGAGGAATTGATTCTAAGTGACCCGAAGCCCCATTACACGTTAAAAATCGCGGCTTACGATATGAACCCTTTCCGGCTTTTTTGTGCTGCCCCACCCCACTATCACTGACGAGAAATGGGACATCCTGTGACGTCGTAGCAAGTCTGTCGTAACCTTAACATCGACATCTTCGATAGCGAACCTATGTTGGGATTGGCGTAAAGACCCACTTCAAAAGAGTAAAAAATAATCAAGGTGTTGAAGCAGGTCTTAAGTGAGTACCCATGAACTTTAGAACTTCAGTTCTGCTCTCACAACCAACAGAAACAGCACCGAAGTGTGCTGATTCGAATGATAACTCAGTCATTTGTGAGTTCGGTTTTTCATTCATTTCACCTTCCTTTCTTCTATCTCCATAACCTTGGGTACTTCCTCCAGCTCCGTACTGCCTAGGCCGCTGCGACTCAGAATGGCAGTGCGATGCGTGCCACATCCCTAATAGGGACTGATCGACGGCAAAGACTATCCTTACTTCCTCCGGCTATGTTTCTGTAGAACTTCTTCTCCAGCAGGGCTTTAATTAAGTTCCGCTTTTCTAGTTCTAAGGCCAATGACGCATTGAGCGACCAAACAATGAATGAATAAAAACGCGCATGTGTCCGAATTAAACCCAGCCGGAGAATCGACGACTGATTCGTTCGATAGGAGGCACGACCGCATATGGCCAATTCACTAATTTCGCTGAAACGCGTGACCCCAATCAGATCACAGCTAACCCATCATCCTACGTTGTAAGGCAAGGTTCATTCCGCATACCAACGGCATTATGGGACTGCTACTCGTTCTTGATTCTCTCGAAAAGAATTTCGCTAGGGTGCACTCATACACAACGTCGTTCAAGATCAAAGAACCCTTGGAGTAGGGAAAAGTTTCAGAAACCGCAAAATCGTCGTAAACGATCTGTACACGTATTACACGCTTCCCGCAACACTTCAGTGGTTCTGTACATGAAAAAGGCCTTACAAGTAGTATGCCTGCTCTAGCAATATTTAGACTAAAACAACTAATTTGAAGCACCTACAGCTTTTGGCCAGCAAGCTTCAACAGTTTCTCCTTGTTCTGAATTTGCTGTTGTATCTTCTCAATAGCCTTTTCCACACGCTCCATATGCTCCATATCTACAGGTGGCCTATCCGGACCAAGAGCGTATTCCTAGAACGGACAACTTCTAGATGAATGACAAGGTCGTACGTTGATCATGACATGGAACTTACTAATATGACACGATTGCCTCATTACAACTTACATTCATACAAGCACATTTCGCAATAGCCAACATGGGTGATGGGGTCAAAATGCGAACGCGTTAGTGTTGGTCCAACAGTGAAGAGCAAGGCTGAACAAACTGCCGAGACCCTCCCCCCTCCCTATTGAGACCACTTGAATTTGTACAAGTGTTAGAAGGTTCAGTTGAATTCCTGACCTCAGATTTAGGCCTTTCGTCTCAACAACACTGAAAAAACTGGCAGCAAACAAGTAAACTCACAACACTTGTAATTGGTGGCGTACAGACTGACCATCCTAGAACCCTAAAACCCTGTCTAGGGGTGTAATAGCAGCTACTCTATGCTAATAATGTAGCAGCGTATTCTAATTGAGGTATTTCTGTACTTTTTCAATTTAATTTTTCTGGTGAACAAGTTAGAAGACTCCCTGCAAAGGCAGCTTATCGCGACACCGGCAAAGTGGGGCATCATTGGCCACAATGGTAAGAGAAGACCTCATAGAAGTTTATGGTAAACCTTGAACTTACCCTTTTGAAGGTGTTTTTTATGA